ACTGGTATGATAAACCTATTGACGGTAACTCATTAACGTTTTTTTAGTATTATTGTAACAATGTAAAGACCTTGTCACTTTGAATTTCTTTATCGCTTTGAGCTCTGTACTGTAACAACATGCATTTACTTTAGGTTAGGCTTGGTATATGAACTTCTATGTGTATTTGAATAAATATTTCTTTGTATTTATATAGACAAGGATAAAAGAAAAATATCTTTTGTTTTGCAGGATCAACAATATCATCCACGTTAAGCACGACAATTCAGCCAGTCACAAACCTCACCCATGGTGTGTCCTACAGTTCTACAGGTTCTTATTCCACACCACCCTCATCTTCAGTAATAGCATCAAGTTACTCAGCATCATCTCCGATGTCATCGAGTTACTCAACATCACCACAAACATCTTATAGTGCCTCCACACCACTACAAATGTCATCTAGTGACTCCACATACCAACCGATGTCATCCGATGACTCCACATACCAACCGATGTCATCCAGTGACTCCACATACCAGCCAATGTCATCCAGTGACTCCACGTACCAACCGATTTCATCTAGTGACTCCACACCACTGCAAATGTCATCCAGTGACTCCACATACCAACCAATGTCATCTAGTGACTCCACACAACTACAAATGTCATCCAGTGACTCCACACCCCTACCAATGTCATTTAGTGACTCCACATACCAGCCAATGTCATCCAGTGACTCCACATACCAACCAGTGTCACCTACTGACTCCACATCCCATTCGATGTCATCTACTGACTTCACACCGCTACAAATGTCATCTAGTGACTCTACACCACTACAAATGTCATCCAGTGACCCAACATCTCAACCGATGTCATCCAGTGACTCCACACCACTACAAATGTCCTCCAGTGACTCCACATACCAACCGATGTTATCTAGTGACTCTACACCACTACAAATGTCATCTAGTGACTCCACCTCACTACAAATGTCATCCAGTGACTCAACACCTCACCCGATGTCATCTAGTGACTCCACATACCAATCGATGTCTTCCAGTGACTCCACACCTCAACAAATATCATCTAGTGACTTAACACCTCAACCGACGTCATCCAGTGACTCCACATACCAGCCAATGTCATCCAGTGACTCCACATACCAACCGATATCATCTAGTGACTCCACACCACTTCAGATGTCATCTAGTGACTCCACACACCAATCAATGTCATCTAGTGACTCAACTCCTCAACCGATGTCAACCAGTGACTCCACAGCACAGCCGATGTCATCTAGTGATTCGACTCTACCACCAATGTCATCTAGTGACTCCACATACCAGCCAATGTCATCCAGTGACTCCACATACCAACCGATATCATCTAGTGACTCCACACCACTTCAGATGTCATCTAGTGACTCCACACACCAATCAATGTCATCTAGTGACTCAACTCCTCAACCGATGTCAACCAGTGACTCCACAGCACAGCCGATGTCATCTAGTGATTCGACTCTACCACCAATGTCATCTAGTGACTCCACACCACTACAAATGTCATCCAGTGACTCCACACCACTTCAGATGTCATCTAGTGACTCCACACCCCAACCAATGTCATCCAGTGACTCCACAGCGCAGCCGATGTCATCCAGTGACTCCACATACCAGCCAATGTCATCTAGTGATTCGACTCTCCCACCAATGTCTTCTAGTGACTCCACATACCTGTCAATGTCATCTAGTGACTCCACATACCAGCCAATGTCATCTAGTGACTCCACACCCCAACAAATGTCATCTACTGACTCAACACCTCCACAAACGTCATCTAGTTACCCAACACCTCAACCAATGTTATCCAGTGACTCAACACTTCAACCGATGTCATCCAGTGACTCCACATACCAACCAATGTCATCTAGTGACTCTACACCACTACAAATGTCATCT